ACAGTTGGCCGCCATTTGGGTGGATCCCGGCTCCGGTTATATTTCAAAACCGGGCAACACACCGGCCAGAGCGTTCAGTCGCCACGCGTCCGCCGTGTGAGCCACACCAGGAGATCAAAGGATCACAGAGCCTCCAAGTCCAATTCGGGTACATCGGAAATGTCCAAGATGATGCTACCCAACACGGGCAGTTGGACGCTTTGCGGCGCTGTCCTCCTCTTCGTCCTGCCGCTGATCCCCACGCCGGAGGCACTGCAGCACACAGAGGAGGGTCTCGAGATGCTCTTCCGGGAGCGGTAAGTTAAGCAACCATTCCATTGACACCTCTCCGACTAAAATCGGTTTGATGGGAGCCGAGTTACGTGAGGTTGTTAACTACTAGGGGTAGTTTTAAGTGGTGCTAGTGATATGAAAACTTAAGGTTAGATATATTATGTCGGAATAATCATATTCAGCACAAAATTTGAGTTATATTCAAGTGGTTTTACCTATTCTGCAGTTCGCAATCGGACTGGGAGAACGTGTGGCACCAGGAGACGCACTCCCGCTGCCGGGACAAGCTCGTCCGTCAGCTGTATTGGGCCTGCGAGAAGGATATTTACCGACTTACGCGGCGCAACAAAAAGAGGACAGGCAATGATGAGGCCTGGATCAAAAAGAGCCCCACGGACCGTAAGTCTATGTCTATAATATATGTGGAAATGATAGTGAAACCAAAAGTTCTGAAGGATTTTTACAAGCGCGCAACGATAATTATATAGATACAGCAATTTTAAATCATCAATGCCTTCTTTTGAGCAATGATCTCTGGTCTTCTTCCAGCTGATGGATCCACCTGGCTGCACGTCAACTATGCCAACATGTTCCTGAGAAGTCGCCGATCGGATGGCCATACTCCATCGATCTCGAATGAATGCTGCACCAAGGCGGGTTGCACCTGGGAGGAATACGCCGAGTACTGTCCTTCAAACAAACGACGCAATCACTATTGATTCGCCAGCAACGTTGGATCTGCTTAGATATATAATACCATATATGTATATTCGCTTTTTTTCGTGGTTGTTGTTGATGTTCTTGTTGTGGTGAAATAAACTCTTATTAAAAATAAACAGGTTTTGGTTTTCAAAAAAATCTTTACTGAGTTCTACTACATATTTTATATTCGGTATATAAAGAATCTACTTACAATTTTGATACAGACAACATTTTTTTTGATATCTTAGCCTAGACAATTACAAGGATATGAAGATATTAAATAAATTAAAAATCTACTTTCACTTTCCATCGCAAAAGTACGGAACTTACATTTTTGTATTTGGTATGTATTTATTGACAATTTTAAATGTCCACTCCATCAAATATAACATGTTAAAAATGGTTATAGCTTGATTAACATGATATGAAAGAATATATCAGTCAATCTTGTTTATCACTTCGCAAGTTACATTTTTATTCAGCATACCAAAATGTTTTCTGACTTGAAAGAATAGCTATAATATTAAAAAAATGCGAATACAACATTTATAATAATCGCTATACTTATTAATGCAAATTTATAAAAGATCTACACATTAAGCTTGTCTTACAATTGTAAGTTAAATTGTTTTTAAATAATATTTTAAACATTAAAGAACAGTGAGAGAGCATTAAAAGCTTTATTTATCCTTTTTCATTTTCATTTAATAGTCAATTTTGTAATATTTTATATGAATAGCCATGCCAACATAAATGAAGTTCGAATAGTTTTTGGAAATATTCAGCAACAATATTCAAGCAGACAAAAAGAAGACCCAATTAAGTTGTGTAGGCAATGTAACAATTGCTTAAAATATTCGAAAACCTTAAGAAAGCCTTTACACATTCGCATTTTTGCTAAGTGTCAACGAGCATTCAAGTCTCTAGAAGCATTTTGCCTAGTAGTAAATTGTAAACATTGCATATACAAAATTCTGAGCCTACTTTAACATGTCCTAATATGTACTTAAAAATACCTATGCTTTAAGGGATCTTTTCGGCTAGAAATTCTCATCGAAGGGCAGTATAAATCCTCTAGGGCAATATCACTTAATCAACAATATCCTTCTTATCCTCCTCGTCGTTCTCCTTGCGACTCTTTGCTGGACCCTCAGCCTTGCTGCAGTTGGGTGCTTTTCGTGGCCTCTTTGAGGCCTGTCCTTTCTCGTAATGTGAGTCCAGCATCTCGAGCAATGTCAACTGGCGGCCGCCTCCTGTTTTCGAGGAGGAACTACTGCTCTTGGCCGGTGTGCTGCTGTTGCTGACTTCCTCGCTGTTCTTCGCCTCCAAACTGGCGGCCTCCATCATGGCATTGGTCTCCTCATCATCGGACAGCATGAGAATGACCTGTTCTGGCGAGGAATCGGAATCGTGGGACTCTTGCGTGGGAAACAGATCAGGACTTCCTTGGCTGACAGCGGCTTTCGGTAGTGCTGGCTTTTTGGTAAGTTCTGGTGAGATTTTCGCGGGTGCTAAAGGCTTTGCTTCGCAGATTGCTTCTCCTGATCCAGCTGCTTTTGATGTTCCAGCTTCTGCGGGCGATCCATTTCCTGGCCCGTCTTTGTCCTTCTTCAGTTCCTCCCTTATGAATTCGTACAGCGTCTTTTTGCATGCCTTGCCCTCACGCGGTTCCTTGGGGCTCTTCTCCATCATAACTCTGCTATAGGACCTTAGGATACTCCAAAGCTGCTGGACCGTAGTACCCTCACTTCGAAACAACAGCCATATGTCATGGAAATCGTCTCTAAGCTCGGTATCACCAAAGGTATAGTATGCCAAAGGTCTGCCCAGTTGAGCGCAGACCATGAGTTGCAGCAGGGATTTAAGGTAGGAATCTCCGCCGAATGCGCCGCATCCCCAGTTGCCGGTGGCCACACCTGGTGGCGGCGTGACCATCCAGTGGACAAATCCGATATACGCCTTGTTTAGCTCCCTTTCCATAAGATCCTCGCGGTATTGATGCTGTGATTGGGCAAAATGCAAAGCATCTATGGCCACAATAGCCGTTTGCCGGCGACGAGAGCTGTCCCTGGGCGTGGTGTCCTCACAGTTGCCGGACCACTCGAAGCTTCCGGCATATCCCGTATAGTTGCTATATCTCTCGGCGCCCAACATCACCAGCGCCTCAAATGGCCGCAGACTTTCCGTAAAGAGCTTGCCGACCAAGAGCTCTGGGCAGATGACAAAGCGTATCTCCTCCTGAACGCAGCCGTGTCCCAGAACACCGCCACCCAAATACTTGTTGGCAAAGTCCACCTGGAGAAGCCCGATACCATCGTCCTCAATAGTTCCCTCGGCATCCACATGCAATGGCACATCGCCCAGGGGCGCTGCACTCTGGTTCCAGTCGACCTGATGTTCCGGTAAACCGCTGCGGCGGACAAATGTCACCACGCCGGTGGGCACATTGCTGTCATCCCGCTCCGTAGGACACACTCGCCGGAAATAGTGCATAATGCATTTGAGCTTCTCCAGCACCGCTGCTCCCGTGGATTGATAGAGCCTGTGAAGGAATGGAATGGAGTATAGTGATTGATTCTTGGCATATCCTGCTCCTGCTTACCTGTTAAAGTTGATATCCGGAAAAGTGCTGTACTCGGACTTCCTCTTCAGCGTGTTGCGCCGCGGGAAGGTGCACAGGAAGGCGTTGGCCAACAGGCAGGCGATCTGCTGCTGACTTAGGCTCAAGGAGGCATTCTTGTGCTGCTTGAGCAGCGGAACAGGCGATTGAATCAGGTCCGGCAGCCGTAATGCCAATCGGATAATGCGCGGCAGTAGATCCTCGAAGAAAACCCGCGATTCGCTCTCGTCCAGCTCCTCGTCCAGCAGCTGATGAAGGGCCCGAAAGTGCCACTGATCCCTGTAGGTGGTATTGTAGGATAGTATGGCCGCCTGGAGCTCCTCACTCGATTCGATGGGCTGCAGCAGGGCCCTTTCGATCATTCCCCAGCGAGAATCGATGGTGGTGCTGCCATCCGGATTTTCCCGGGGATATTTCGACTCCGGCGCGCATGGCAGGCGAACATGCTCCGAATCCCATTTACCCGGAGATTTGTGTGGGCGTGGCGGCGTATCCCGGATGGGCAGTTGGTACAGCACCCGGTGATGATTGCCAGCGCTGACGGGTGGCAGGTTTTCCAATTCGAAGGGATGGAGATTGCGATGTATTGCCTCCATGGGCACTCCGCGCCATGATTTCTCAAGGGAGTCCCCTAAATTTTCCGGCTCCTCCTCCGTATCCATTGTGGAAATCCCGCCATCCGTTGACTGTGACATTTTGGCGGAACTTAGCCAAATTCGGGCGCCCAGCCGGCTGGTCAATACGGATGCACTTGGTCCACGGCAAAGTGCCGAAGAGTGTAGGATCCTCTGAAATATCCGGAAAATAATTTTGTCCTTATTATTTTCCCGATGATATGCAATGTGGCCAGACTTCTGGCGGCCGGTGCTTTAGGGATGGGCGATAGTTGTTCCAAGTATCGCAGCACAAAAAATACCAGTTATATAAATGGAAAATATTTATGCAAAAACTAAATTAATTAAAATAATATTATTAATTGAGTTCTAGCATAACTTTTCCAAGCACATCGACTTGTAGTTAAGACCCACTAAATACATACCCGAAAAACTATATTTTTGTGTAAAGGCCTAAATTAATCTACAATGTTTTCTTAAACGGATTAAACAATGTTATTTTTAAGCGTCATTTCCACGATCTGACAATTTAAAGAGCAATCAGTTAATATAGCTTCGATATTCATATTCATATAACTTAAGTTTATCAAAATCGCAAGAATATATCATTCTAAATGATCAGTGCAAATAAAAACATGAATATATGATTATAAGCTTCTGTATTTAAATTTGGCGCTCAAGGTGTGCCCATCTCTAGTTGGTATATTCACCAATAGTATTTAATACCGCACTGAGTGCGTTGCAATGCGAATTGCAAAAAAACCGGGCTGCAAATACAACAACAAACAAACAGAGAAAACAACAACAATGCGAATTATCAACTTTTTCTCTATTTTTTTTTAAGTGCGATAGTTAAACGAAAATAGCGCCAAAGTAAGTGTTAAGATTTACAAGTAAACTAGCGGAAACTAAAAAAGTGCACTTACCCAGGAAAATAAAATTAAATGCGGCATAAATCGGTTAATTAAACATAAATAAATTAAAAATACGCAAAGGTAAGAACAATATGAAAATAGTTACAAACCATTTAATTAAATAGTAGCCACGGAATTTTGTATTATTTTTAGTTGACGTCAGGGGCGAAATCTCGGTTTTTTTTATATTTTGTAACCCCTATTATACCGCTCTCACTCGCACGTATGGGATTGTGGCATCTTGCCTCTCTCTCCTTTAAGCTTACGTGTTGAAAAGAAGAAGAAATCCCGCTGCATACACGTGCAAAAATTCTGAGAGAGTTTGAAAGAGAGAGAGCAAGAAAACAGTGAGAGAGCGAGAGAGACAGGGCGCTTTTGTTTGTTTTGAAAGCGTCGCAAAAACAATTTAAAAAAGGTTTACGAAAACACACACACACACAAACAAAACAGAAAACCAAAAGCAAATTCGCAGCTAGCTAAAAACCAAAATAAATATAATTTATGAAATGTACTTTTGCTAAAGTTCAACACACCTTTATCTCTCCACGAAATTTCAGTCGCCCCATCTCTTTCGCTCCTTTTTGCGGAGGCGTAAACAAACGAAAAAAACCACAAAAAGGGGAGCAAAAAAAAACAACAAGATAGAAAACAAAAATAATTATCAAAAGAATTCTTCCAAAAAAAATCTCTCAGTTTCTTTTCTTCGTCCGTCTACTTTTTGTTTAGCCTTCAAATTTGCTTAGATTTCGCCTTGACCATAACCTAGAAATAAACGAAAAAAGTACAGTGGAAGCTCCACATGTAGAACTTCCTAGTTAACTATTTTGCAAAAAGTAATAATTTAATTTTCTTTGACTTTTTATTTCAAAAATCTTATTTCTTTGCATAAAATATTTTTCAACAAATTAAAAAAACTTTTCTTGTTAGCAAACAAACTATTAGTGACCAACTGTAATTCAATTTCTTGAATCTCCACTGTACCTTTAGCGCTGTCTCTTTTCTTATTTGCGTCAGCGTGAAAGAGAGGGAATGAGCGGGGAGGCGATGAGGGGGTGGCAAAAAAACAAGCAACAACAAAATTGCATAGAGCCCAATAATCGCATAGAAAAAGCGGGCAATGAAAAACGCCCAAAAAAAATGCGAAATGTTAGTAAACTTTTTCAAGGTCACCTGAAAAGCTTGAACTAATACTAATCAACAGCTGGAAGAAGAAGACGGCTGCAGTTCTATGAGTCAATTTTAAAATTAAACAAAAAAGGGGGGAACAGAAATCAATTACTAAATTAAATCAATTGTGTTAGGAATACTGTTTTTTTAGCATTTATATTTATTTGTGTACATATGTACATATGTAAGTAGTATATTTTATTTGTTATAAATAAGTTTACGAAATAAAGACAATTTTTAGAGACTGCTGTCTTTTTAGGATTTTTACCCGTTTATTTTATTACAAATTAAATATTTTTGGTTATCAAGTTACAAAATTAATAAAAAATATATTTCTTTTATGCTTTAAAAGTAGTCTTAAGTATCATATCATATGTAAGTAGTTTATTTTATTTGTTATAAATAAGTTTACGAAATAAAAACAATTTTTAGAGACTGTTGTCTATTTAGGATGTTTACCCATGTGTGTCATTTTATTTTAAATAAAATATTTTGTATTATTAAGTTACAAAATTTATAAAAAGTATATTTTTTTATGTTATAAATGCTATATAAGTAGTCTTTAGCAAGTGATCACTGTTAAGCGAAAAAATGAAATGTATAGTAGAGGGGGGTTATATCATGATCATATGATTTATAATTGTTTGAAATGTTTGGGGTTAAATGTTACAGTGACAACACTTAAAAGGGATACATGAATGTTTTTATTTACTTTGATTATCTTATTTCCTTTCTTGTTATCGAATCCACTTGTATTTGGTTTTTTGCGATCTTGTCTGCCTTTTTTTTTTGCCTTTTCAATTGTATGCAATAATAATAAAAGACAAAAAAAAAACTGAAATGATAAATAAAATTGTTTTTGCTTGTTTGTGTTCCGCTCATTATTTTGTTTTTTGCTTTTGTCAACGCGACTTGTCTCACGTTGGCAAAACAAAGTACAAAACAAAGAAGAGGATGATGAACGAGAAGAGGAGAAGAGGAAGATAAAGAGAAAACCTTGCAAATACAGTGAAGATTGAATATGTGCAACATGGGTTAAATATGACATTTTCAGAGTTCTTTCTTTTAACAAACTTTGATTATTAATTTTTTTTAATTTAAAACTTAACATCTTTAAATTTATTTAAATGTTTCTGATTATAATACAAATTGGATTATACGTTTTTTAAATTTTATAACTTAAGATGTTACATGTTTCATTTTATTACATGCCTAAAAATATTGGAAAACCTAATTTAATTAAGAAATTAAATTTATATAAATATAATATGCTTAAATAAGAAATAAATTTACCATAATCCCTATTTAAATTTGTAGATTTTTATATACAGTGTACACAAATTTTAAAAAAATAATGTAAGGTAATAAAACATAATAAAATACTGGGAAACTTTCATATACATACATATAGGTATCACCACAAAAAATACCCTTAAAATTATATAATTTTTGCATTTTTACCGTTGCAAACCCCTATGTACCTTGTACACAATATTTATTGCATACTAGTAAAAACAATTAGAGAGAGAGGCAAGTAGATAACTAGACAGAGAGGGCAGACCACACGTGTTGCTAAGGAGGGTCGCTCAACTTTATCGCCCATTTCCCTCCCCCTTTCAAGTACCTTTAAAGCACCAGTTTTTTTTCAGCAAAAAAAAATCACACACTCACAAACAAAATAAAAACAAAAGCAGAGTGCAAAAAAAAATTCGCATGCGCGGATGACCTTGAAAATTCTATAAGACGCGAAAAGCGAGACTGCGACGCCTGCAATGCGAAATGAGCAAGAAAAAAAATATACAAAAAAAAAATAATCACGAACAAGAGCAAATTTCTTTTTCAAGAACAAAATCAAATAAAGACTGCGATTTTGCTAGCCTAATGGGAAAAATTTGAAAAGGAAAATATACACAAAATGCGATAAATAAGTCACCAGAAATATTTATGTAAAATTATAAAAATATTTTAAAATATAAAGATAAAAAAATCGCGCTATTAATCAAATAATTAAAAATATTATTCATAATCTTAAAGATTGTCTTAATACTTTACAAATATACACATGTATTTTTGTTTACTCAATAAAGAATATAATCGCAATTGACTAGTTTAAATATTTAAAATAATTTAAATAAATGAGTACAAGCTTAAAATCTACCTTTGAAGAGTGAAAGAGAGAGTTATACACTTCCTGTCAGCACTCATAAATAATTAATTTATTTACCGTTAGTTGCTTATGCAAAATGGCCCGCAGAAATTCATATGTTTTTGAATATTATTGTTTTCTTTTATTTACTTTTGGCAATATTCACGCCCCCATCAGCACAGAAAAGAGAAATCGTTTAAACAATTTTTTTTGCACGTTTTCAAAAATAAAACTCAAACAAGCAAAGGAAACAAAAATAATATATTAAAAAATAAATATAAAAAACGAAAGGTGATGGCCAGTCAAGAAGGCCTTAACCCCAATAAATGTGTAAAAACAATTAAATAGCAAAAAAAACAGCATGGGCAAATTTTTAAAGCAATAGCAACAACATCAAAACAAATGCGACGCAATAAAAAATAAACAAAAAATATATAAAAATGGCATATTTATTGGTTTACGTGGGTGGTGAAAGTGAAAATATTAACCTCAAGATTGCCAACAGATGGAGCCACTCCTTGTGTTTTAAAATGAATAACCTAAAAACCATGTTAAATAATGATCAACAGCTATATAATGATTAGAACTGTCAAAATAAAGTATAAAAAATGAGCCTTTTAAAAAATATATCAGAAAAATGTAAAATTGATAAGACACAAACTGTACTAAAATAAAAATAAGCCCAATATAAATGTAATTTTAAAAGTACTGCCTAATAATGCATTCAACAAATAAATAAAAACCCTTTTAAGAATCAAAACAAGTTAATTTACGATTGTTATATAACGAATTGAAAACCCAAAAAGCCTTGAGACACACAAAAATTATATCAAAAATAAACAATCGAAAGTACAACAAAAAAAGGTACAAGTAAAGCGAGTTGTATTTTTTTCAGACAAACAATTGCAATTATTTCCACATTAAAAGTCATTTGGTTGCTGCAAAAATTAATTCGTTTTTAATTTGGTGAACATATAGGTCTAACTCGCTATCTCTTTCCCGCCTTTTGAGAACACCTTCCGATGTTTGTCTTTGTTCCAGTTTGGTCATATATCTTTTTTTTTTTAGCTATGTATACCTGAATGGTCCCCAGGAAGTAGATAATAATGTATTACGACCCGATAAATACTCAAATATACAAATACTTTAACTCTCTGGGCAGGTTTTTATTCGACTTTAAAGGTTTAATTAGGGTTTTTGAATTTCTATCAATATTGTTTAAGATTTTTGAGCTTCATATGTTTTGATAGTTATTAAAAACTAGTTCTTAACTATATAAAATCAGAATTTAAATGAAAACTTATAAAGGAAAAAGTTATATTAGTTTAAATTAGCATATTTTTTTATTTTATTCATAATTAACCTTAACATTTATATGTATGTCCTAAAGATAAATTGATAAACGATTTTATTGCGCCTTAATTAAGGTATGCATTTTATTTATTTGATTTTATGTTTAGTGTATATCTGTAAGATAGTAAAATTATTATTCTCTCTAAAAAATTAGGGTTTGGTAAAATTCTTTCTAAATGGCTTCCCTTTAATTTTAGTTTAAGATGCAATTTCATCATGTGTCGTCTTTTTCTTAGGCGGCTGACGTCAGCGACGCCAGCAGCGCTGCCAGCGCAGCAGTTGTCATTGGCAGAGGCGTTGTAACAGAGTTTTATTTTATGAGGGTTTCGGAAAAAGGGGGGCATTAGTCACTTGTGACAGTCACAGACTAAATGGCACTTGTTGTTCGTTCGTAGAGGAAAAAAAAGTGGGAAAT